ACTGCTGCCATCCTACAATGCTTACTCTAAAAACCAGGATCAATGGGCACATGGCTAATGAAAATGTAGATGCTAGATTACTCTGGGGTGTGCTTAATGTGACTGGATAGTTATTTACCAACAAGATGTTTTTGGGAAGGGGAGAAAACCAAACCCTACCACACAGTGCTTATGTCAACAAAGCAACTACAGAGGAATGCCAGGGCGGCAGCTGGAGCAGACATCTTCCCCAAAATGCCAGAGAGTGAGCTTTTACATGAATGGGAAGAAATGCAGCAAAGCAGCAACAGTCCAACTTTCTGTGGGGAGAAGCAGTAAAATACTTGATTAGAAGAGTGACACAAGAGTGTGCAAGAGAGGAAGCCTCGACCAGGGATTACGGCCAAGCAATTAAAGCAGCAGTTTCCACCCGGGCTCCCCTGACCTGGACAGCACCTCCAGCATAGACAGGCCCCAGGAGAGGGTGCCTCTGTGGTAGGGCAGGCATCACGACAGGTCTCGGTCTGTTTTAGGAGCTGGGATTACCCTAAAGTTGGTGAAAGCCCACTAACATCATTTGAAAACCATGACTTGAATGAGGATAAAATACAGAGCACCTTGATTTCATATTTGGCATCTTTTCCAATAAAGTGGAAAAGGCCAGTGTTTCAAAAAGATGATGAGCAAAAGTTTAGAAATAGAAACAAGAGCCAAAACCAAGCCAACCAGAGGCAATGTACTTTCAAATTGCCTCTAATTTAACACAGTGTTACTGACATCCTATCAGTGTCACCCATGGGATTTGCTCTGCAATTCAACATTTTTAAGTATAGTATTATGAAACTAACTTTGCTTTATAGAATCATGAAAGAGAACTGGAGAATCATTAGTATGTGGAAGAGTCCTGTGTGCCGTCCTAAAGGTTACATTTTAATATCATTCTACTAAAAACCCAGAACTAAAACAGAACATGGAAATGGCTGCCAGGTCATTCAGCTAAATTCCAGATAATTGCAAGAGGCAAGGCAGCACAAAAACAAAATGGAGAAAAATCTTAGGCCCAAGTAAGCATTTCAAAATTGATTTAAAACTGGGTGTGGTTGTACATGCCTGTAGTCCCTGCTACTTAGAAGGTAGGAGGACTGCTTGAGTCCAGGAGTTTGAGACCAGGCTAGGCAAGATAGTAAGACCTCATCTCTAAAAATAAAAAGTAAAAATGAAAAGTGATTAAAGCACAAGGATTCACTCCTTCAACAAAAATTTCCTGAGCACTCCCTGTGTTTAAGGCATCCCATTAGAAGGTACAGACATGAAAAGCTTGATAAAAGAAAACTTAGAATATAGGAGAAAATATCAAAGAATAATGAAGACTTAACTACACTGGATAATTCAAGAGGGTGAGTACCCAAGGCAAATTGAAAAGTACTCAAATGACCACTTATGTACCTAATCCTGAACTGTACACAATATCTTTAAAATAAATACATTAAATTTTTTTTTTTAATTTAAAAAAAGAAAAGTATTCAAAATGTGGTGAACAAATAAGTTTCTTCTGAGAACAGAAGGAAGAGAGAAAACTTTCTGTATCGATGTCTGCTTAGTTAATATTCCCGGAAGGAAGCAAGACCAAAGCCAAGATTAAATTGTAATAAATCTTAAACCAAAAGAGTTTTTGAGAAACTGAAGCAAGTTAGAAAACAATAATACAGAATCTTGTCTGGTTGAGGCTAAAAGGAAACACTATCAGGAACATCTAACCCAGAACTTTAATTTTGTCCGTTAATAACTTCTGAAGAGTGACCTCCTCAGAGTGACAACCTTATTATTTTTGTTGTCATTGAAAAACTATAAACAAGCATTATATATTCTTTTAAAAATTAAATATTCTACATCAGCCAAAATTTGAAAATTTGGAGTAGAATCACTCAACACTTTGCAGTGTATTCATTTTAGTTTTTTTGAGAAACAGAGTGACCAAGAGACAATGATAAAGAAGGCAGGGGGAATGAAGAGAGAGACAGAGAGAAAGAGAGAGAGAGAGAAATGGACAGAGAGGCTGCTATCCATGTATCCGTGACTACCCACATAAGAATGGCATCATATTAATCCTACTGCTGTGTAAACCCTTAATGTAGTACTTTTCTATATCAGCAAGTATACATACCATAACTTTTAAAAAGTATGATTGACTAGAACCAGCAACTACCATTTATCTTTGTATAACATTTGTATGTTGTATACTTTTTAAATAATAAACATTCAAACACCATGCAAATGAGCACATCAGGAATGGTAGTAATAACAATAATTTAAAAGACACTAAATCTTCCATAAGCCTAACAAACATTTATTTTCACAGACGTACATATTCACAGCTACTCTCAATTTTATTACTCACATAAAATAGAATGTAGTTCCTCTGACCGCCAAAGTTTACGATTCTATACTTATGTGGTACAACTTTCAATCATTTGTCCTAAGACTCTTCCCATAATAACTGTTTTTCTACATTTCAAGTTTACTCTTACTTGGCTCTATAGCAGTTTCATACACAAACAGCACTGTGGAAGGTTTCTTATTTACATAAGCTTATTTAATGCTTACAACAACCCTGCAATGTAGATCAAATGAAATTTAAGTAATCTGTTCAATATCCCACAGCTGATAAGTGGAAGGAATGGAATTAAAAACCCCAGTTACACAATCTGAAAGATTCTGTTCCTTTCATCACATCAAGTTGCCTTAGCATATTCACTGAGGTATTTATTAAGCACCTTTTATGACAACAGCAGGATTAGTATACAAGGAAAACATTCATCTAAAAGAACTGAGAAAATGCATACTGGTATTGGTGAAGCAGAGTTCTAATATTGGTAAATAATGAAACTACAATGGAGCAAAAATTCAGTAAATGAGTTCATAGAAAACAAACCTAAATTTAAAATGAGTGAGGGAAAAATAAACAGGTCTGTGTTTAGAACAATGGAAACTGCAGCCAGGCGCAGTGGCTCACACCTATAATCCCAGCAGTTTGAGAGGCTGAGGTGGGTGGATTGCTTGAGCTCAGCAGTTCAAGACCAGCCTGGGCAACATAGCAAAACCTCACTTCTACAAAAAAAAGAAGAAGGAAAAAAAAGCACAATTAAGCTGGTCAAGTGCTACATCAAAAATTTCTCTTTTTGTTTTTTAATCAAGTTGTATTTTGAATTGACTTTGTGGCCAATTCACTTAAGGCTAATGGTCCATAATAATCTAACACTGTTGAAATACCAACTATAAGCATTATTTCCTATCACATTAAAATGTCTCTTGAAATTTTTTTATAAAACTTAATGACAGATTAGGCAAATTTCACAAACAAATTTTAGCTCCATTGGAATAAATGTGCTACATTAATAACAATAAATAACAGGAAATACTACTACTATTATAAAATTCATTAAAGAGAAGACTACTCTCAAAAAGAGGAAGACTATTAATAAATTACTTTCCAACACAAAATATTCATATCCTACTAGCTTTGTTGTAACAGTCATACACATGCCATCAGCTGAACTTCCAGCCTGGAAGACTCATTTCCAACCTCTGTGCAAAGTATTACACTGAGGGCTGGGCATACACACAGGCTACTGCCTAAAGTACTGTCTCTACCTACATGAAGAGATGTGGAAGATTTGGTTTCTGTTTTTATAAGTCCACGTAGGTCTCCTTAGAGCCATCTGTGGATGTCAATATGTGTTTCCAGGATTAAAATAGAAATACTACTACTTATTCACAAACTGTGTTCAATACGCTTTACTATTTCTGATATGATGGTTAAAGGATACATGCTTAAACAGTCAAAAAAAACTCAAAGCTATTCATTCAATGTTTCTTGAAAATTTATTTAAATTTGGCAGACATGCTTTTAGGTCTACTTTTATTTTTACCGCCAACTGCTATAGCTTGAATGTGTCCCCCAAAGTCCTTGTGTTGCAGATGTAATCCTCACTGCCCCCATGTTGGGAGGTGGGACCTTTAAGAGGTCATGAGGTGGTGAGGACTTGGCTTCATGAATGGATTAAGGTTGTAATGCTGGGAGTGGATCCATTTTCTCAGGAGTGGGTTTGCTATAAAAGGGAATTTGGCCCCCTCTTGCTCTCTCTCACACATGCTCTCTTGTCTTTCACCTTCTGCCATGGAAGGTCACAGCAACAGGGCCCTCAACAGATGTAGACCCTCCATCTTGGGCTTTGCAGCCTCTGGAACCATGAGCCAACACGTTTTTGTTCATTATCAATTACCTAGTCTCTAGTATTCTCCTAGCGGGAGAAAACAAACTAAGAAATCAACCCTCTGCTTTTAGCTCCCATCTGACACAGCAGTATGAAGATTAATAAAAATCTTTACAGTAAAGATAGATGCAGCGTATGAGAGGAAAAGCTAAGACATAAAGCAGAGATTATCTGATGTTCTGCTGTGTATCAGAATTATCCAGGTGGTTGTTCAGTGCAGAATGCTGGACATCCCTCTCAGAGATTTTAATCCTACAGGTTTAACTGGCACTCAGGAACCTGTGTTTTTAGATAAGACACATCTGAAAAAACATGATTCTCCGGAATTATCATCAGTACAGAATTAGAATTCTTAATTTCCCATCTACCTGTGTAATTTTTCAAATGCCAGAACTATTATTATTTGTCTCAATATTTCTGAAATAAAACAACCCACTGACCTCCAGAATACACATTCTTCGATGATAGACACCCATATTTCTACCCACTTCCCGTTAGACAGACAGATGAATGGATAAAGACAGGTGTGGACAGAAAGATCCTCCCACCCATTTATCTAATATACACGAAAGAAAGAGAGATTCTGCCTGCAAATCAGAAAGTAATTCAAGTATTTTAACATTTTCCACATCTAAGAAACTCTGAAGTGCTGCCATCCTAGAAAAATCAAAATAATAAGCTACCACGGAGAGAATTCCCAGGCAAGTTCCCTGAGGGTTGGCGCTGCTCACAGCAGTGGTGGCTTACCTGCCGTCCCGCTGAGCCGCCCCGCCTTCTGTCACCGTCTTGACAAATATTCCCAGCTTTTCAAGCCCAGCGTCTGCTCCCACACCCATTCCAATAATACTTATGCCAAGACCGTCCTCATCTATGAAAAAGAAAAAAAAGGAAAGCTTAAGTTTGGCACTCGTCCACAGTGAGCTGGGGTGGCCTGTCTGCCATGTCAGCTGTTCTGTTCTATTCTGTGTGACAGGACACACAGCACACCTGCCTCATGAGAACCTTTTTCCTTCTAGGGAGAAATGTCAAATGAGATCAGATCCCCAAGTAGGCCCCTGAGTATAGTCCCATTTCACCACCACCACTGGTAATTCATGTGCCTATGGAAAGGTGAACTTAACACTGAGCAACCCAGCTGCTTTAAAACATTTATTTTTGCCGGGCACAGTGGCTCACGTCTGTTATCCCAGCACTTCGGGAGCTGAGGGGAGAGGACTGCCTGAACCCACAGGTTAGAGACCAGCCTGGGCAATATTGCGACCTTGTCTCCACAATAACTCAAAAAATTAGCCAGTGTAGTATCACACACCTGCGATTCCAGCTACTTGGAAGGCTGAGGTGGAAGAATCGCCTGAGTCTAGCAGGTCAAGGCTGTTCTAGCCATAAGCATGCCACTGCACTCCAGCCTGGGAGGCAGAGTGAGAATCCAACTCAAAAAAACCCAAAAGACCAAAAACAAACAAACAAAAAACAGATTCTCCAAATAATGCTATCAATTATTTTAGGCCTAAAGGCACATACATTCAAATGTATCATTTTGAATAAATGTGATCATAACATCTGGAATTTCTTCTTTATTCATAGGTTCTCTTTACTTTTTTATTTGTCCATCATATTAAAAAGATAGTATGTATGTTTGAATGCTTTCCTCTGTGCTACCATACACAAATATATACACTTATCAACAGCTACAACATATACAAATACATACACATGCAGCGACATATGTATATATGTGTGTGTGCATATATATGTAATATATATATGGTTTATTTTTCCTTCCTATTTGCTTTTCACAAAGGAGGTTATAACTACTTTTCTCTGCAGCTTACTTTTTAAAAACCAATGATATGTCATGGAAACACGTTTACATAGCTCCAAATTCCTAATGACTGTAATATTTCATGGTAAGATGGTATCATAATGTATCCAACCATTTCTCTATTCACAGGCCCTCACTTCTGTTTCCATTTTACTGGTCCTGTGAACAATACTGACTAGTAGCATGTTTCTTAAAATTCACTTACAAATCATGTATATATCCATATTTCCATTTGTCCTTTCCATGAACATAAACAGTTTAACACCAATGAAAATACAAGACATCCTATTTGGTGTACCATGTTTTTTGGTTAACATTCAAGATTGTTTTCTGATAGCCTCTAAAATCTTTATAATCTTTGGTTTATTAGCAGCATTGAAAAACATTAGCTAATCGACAGTGACGGATTATTAAAGAAAAACTGGTCCATCGTATTTAACAGGTTGCTTGATGCTTTTAAAAGTCTTTTCGGTGATAATCTTCACTTTCCTAAGTATTCTTAATTAGTATTGTATAAAAGAAGGTTCATCTCATTGACTATCACCAACTTCTGCTATAAGTATTTCTAAGTACAATTCGCATTCCTGTCCTACATCTTTATTCCACATGTCTCTGGGCGAAGTGTGGTCTGTCTGTTCAGTGGCATGCTAGGGCATCTTGACGGTGTTTCCCTGGATGAGTATTCTGAGGCGAGCCCCGCTGGAGGCATGAGCAGACTGACCCAAGGCATTGGCATCTCTCCAGCGTGGGAATGTGAACACTGACTCCTGTGGGCTATCTCTGAAGACCTTTCTCTCTCATTACATTTAGAATGTCTCATAGATGAGATTTCTATTTATTATATTCAAATTGTTTCTCCAGTATAAATACTCTGATGTTCATCAGGAGGGTTTCTCTTGGCTAGATTTTCCTACATTCATTACGGTTTTAGAATCTTTGCCCAAAGAGTATGACATGCGCCGCTTTCTGGTCCCACATGAAATCTCTGTATAGAAGTTTAGCTGGTGAATTCTTATTCACGCCCATCACATTCATAGGGCTTTTCTAGGGTGTGACTCTTCATGTGGGTGAGGGATGAGTGACTGCTGAAAGCCTTGCCATAGTGTTTACACCAAGTATGTTTTCCCCCAGTGTTGCCCATGTGTGGTTAAAGAGATGAGCACGGTGGCCTCTCCCTCTCTGTTGATGGTCTCTCCCTCACTGATGATGCTGTGAGACTTCTCTCCAGTCTAAAATCGTTAGCGTCTGTATGTATGAACACTCGGCCAAATTCCCACTCATGGTCATGGCACTTCTCTTCATTTTTTGAGTGACCACGCATTAGGTCAATGTTGAGCTGTGGGTGAACCTCTTCCATGCTCATTACATTCCAAAGGCTCCTCTCACATGCAAAACCTTTGTATGTCATGCCATGAAGCCATTTCTTCCTGCAACTATCCTGAGTGAAAATTACTTCTTGGTTTTTAAATCCACTTTCCCTGCGTGGACTCAGATTTTGGTACAATTCTCTTTCTTCCTTCCATTGCTCCTCTTTGTAGAGAGGGGTCTCACTGTTCTCCCTCTCCTGACCGCAAGTGATTCACCTGCCTCGACCTCTCAAAGTGCTGGGATTATTGGTGTGAGTCACTGTGCCCAGTCTTGATATTTTATTTCATTTAGAATTTTAAAACATATGTTCATAATTGGAGTTCATTGCATGCTAGTTTTTATATGTTATTTTGACAGAATACATTAAAAAAACTTTCCTTCATAATCAATGATGTAAAACAGTCTAAATAGCACTGGTACACTAGAAACATGGTTCTGGTGACTTTTTAATGTTTTATCTTTAATCATCATTCTAGTATCTTCTATAGCAATTAGTCTGCTTTGCTTGAGCTGCATTTGATAATTTTTATTTTGTTAAGAAATACATTATTTCTAGGTATTCACCTATTTTGCCAAAGAAATTCAGTGACTGATGCTCTCTTACACTGTAAATTTGTATATATTTGCTTTCCACTCCTAATGTGCATATATTTGCTTTCAATTTTTGTCAATCAGTATTGTAAAGAATTGATGTGAAAAAGCTTAGCATTGCCTTACTGTACTATTTCTTCTTTCCTATGTCATTAATATTGTTTTTATTTATACTATTCTTCCTTCCTGGTTTATTTGATTTATTTTGTTTACTTTTTTCTGATTTTTAAGATAAGACTTTTTCTCTTTTTTGTTTGTTTGTTTTTAAGAAAGACATTACAGATTTAACTTTTCTTCTGAGTAAGGTTTTTGCTGTACATCATGAAATTTTAAAGTATAATCCTTTGTAAGATGTCTTGGAATACTAGTTTCAATTTTCTTTTTCATCTGACATCTACCTAGAAATCTATTACATAATTCCAGGTTCTCATAATATTAAAGGAGCTTTAAAAATATTTCTGAAAATGTTTTCTTTTTAACTATAGCTTTAAATTGAGCTAAGTATGTTAACGCACCCCTCTGTGGTCTTGCTTGTTTCCTGTCAATAGATTTGTCTAGTTCTGAAAGAAATGTATTGAAATCTCCATTCATTGTATTTCATTTTATCACCTTCCAGTTTAATTCTCAGTATGAAATATTGCATGCATACAAGAGTTTTAAAAACATGTATCCATAAAACATTATGCTCAACAAATAAAAATAAAACAAACATCCAAATACTCACAAAGACACAGATTATTCACCAACACCCAGAGTTCCCCATGATCCCTCCCAGATCTTGTAACTTTCCTTGGTGACCATCATCCTAAATACTGTAAGCAATTCTCTCCTTTTTTGTTAATACTGCCTTGTAAAAACCACATATTTCTGTCTCCCTAAACAATAAGGTGTTTGCTTATTGTTTTGAAATTTAATTAAGCAGAAGCACACTGGGATTTGCTCTTTTCATTATCCCGACTTCACGTTTGTAAGAATCATGCATGTGTGTGAACTGCGGCCCTGAATTGTTTTACTACCAAGTAATATTTTATTAACTAGAGATGCTACAATGTACAAACCCTTTCTACCACAGATGACTATTTGGATTGTTCTCATATTTTGCTATTATGAATAGAAATACAATGGCCCAGCTATTTGTATGGTCCATGAGTTAAGAATAGTCTTTATTTTTTTTTTTTTTTAGTTGGAGCCTCACTCTGTTGCCCAGGCTGGAGTGTAGTGGCACACTCATGGCCACCCTTGACTGCTGAGCTCAGGTGATCCTTCTGTCTCAGTTTTCCAAGTAGCTGGAACCATAGGCGCATGCCACTATGCCTGGGTAATCTTTTGATTGATTGTAGAGACATGGTCTCGCCATGTTGCCCAGGTGGTCTCGAATCCCTGGACTTAGGCGATCCTCTTGCCTCGGCTCCCCAAAGTGCTGGGATTACAGGCTTGAGCCACCCAGCAAGTATCACGCTTCATTCGCTGTACCCCCAAATGAAAGGATCTTTTAACAGGAGTAATCAGTCATCCATGTTTGGTATGATATGACTGGCTTCTTCACAGCTTTTTCAGTCAAGTAACTTCATAGTTTAATATTTATACTACATTTAATATTAAACTTGATAGTTTAATATTAGATATTACATTTAATATTTTAAAATAATATTTATTTTATTTTTTCCTCACTTTTGCTGGTTTAAACAAGTTGTTTTCTGTTCCATTTCCTTCCTGCTAACTGGACAGAAAATTATTCAGATAAAATATAGATGATGTGCTCTTTACGTCCTCACCTACCGGCAGACCTTTCTTTCCCAGGACAGGCAAATGGATACAGGATTCCTGGTCACCAGCTCCTATTCTTCATAGCATGGGAAATGGTACTGTTCCCCACATCTTCCAGCTTCTCGTGTTGCAAATCAGAAGTCTGACGCTAATCTAATCCTTTTGCCATTCTAATATCTTTATCTGCATGTTTTGTTTGTTTTGTTGGTCTGGTATTTTGTAAGACTTTCACTTTATCTTTGAACATTAGGATTTTTTCCCCAGACTATGCTTTAGTGTGGAGTAAGTTTGGGCTTTTTCAGCTCTCTGGCTTGCAACTGGATATTCCTTTTCTTATATGAGGTTGGGGTCTTTTTTTTTCAGCTCAAGAAACTTTTCTTCCATTATTATTACTTAATCTGTCTGTCCTCCTCCATTGGCCACCCCCCCTTCTGTTGCCTACAATTTGTATATTAGGGTTCCTCCATGACTTTTCTTGGATTTTTGCTCTGTCATTTGAGAATTAATTTTGGATGTTGCTAGCACTTGACCTCCTAGGTCACCAATTTGATTCTCAACAATGACCATTCTTTTTAATTCCTCTGGTACATTTTTCATCTGAAATTCAAGAAGTTTGTTGTTTTTGGGAATTTGCTTAAGAATGCCTTTTTAAAACCATTCTTGAATGTCCTTGAGTGGATTTTTCTCTCTCTCTTTCTCCTTCCCTCCCTCCCTCTTTTGTTATTCGAGTCATCAACAGATTGTGCTCTTTCCAAAGCTCTCTGATGTGATTCAGTGATTTTTCCATTCACTGAATCACAGTCCAGTTCCTGGTATGATCAACACAGCCACCTCTAGCCCAGGGTCAGCAGCTGCTGCAGCTAGTCAGCTGCAGCTCAGGGAGAACCTCAGGAGAAGCTCCTCATGCCTTGGTCTCCCTGTCTGCTTTCAGCCTTCTCCCCACAAAGATGGGGAGGACATAGCCCTACTATGGAAATCTCCCTGGATTCTACTGCTTTCATTTCAAAAGGTCATAACTTTTCAACAAAATAAAACAAAAACGACCGTCTGTCCCTCACTCTCCTTTGTACCCACTCTGTCTGGGCTCATCCTCAGTAGCCCATCCAGGACACCATCAAAGCCTCAGGCCTCACACACACCTTCCAAGCATGCCCACCATCCCAGTCAGATGAAATAGGGCACGGCTGGGAGTGATCATCCACCTGGAATCCACACAGCTGTTTTTGAAACGTAATAAAGAAGACCTTTGGTGAGAATTGAGATTTTATCCAAGCCATAGAAGACAAGGCTACAGTTTGGAAAAATAATTCTGTATGACGAGCATGTGACATAATGACACTGTCGACACTATGGCACTTACACACCTTTCTCCAGCTCCACTGGAAAGAGCTCCAACTTCTCCACACGCTTTTCCAGCTCATACTCGGCTGAGGCAGCCACGGGATCGACCTCGTCATTCCTCCTGTCATAGTCTTCATTGGAGTATGTGTTGAAAACCTGCAGCAAGAGGCCAATAGCAAGGTGATGACACAAAAAACATGGCATTCTTGGTTACAAAGAAAAGCTGCTAGATACACACAACCATGTGAGTCAAAAATTTGTATGGTGAATTTCTTCCAAACAACTGTTTGTCTTTAAAACCAATTGAGATGTTAAGAAAGAGACACAGAATCAGTATAAAAATCACTTCCTAATTGAAAAATGCATGCATCATTCTGCCACTTTTAGGAATTTAAGAGAGATAGTAGCTACAAAATACAGTATTTGAATAGCAATATTCATCAGCTTTTACAGAATCAGAACAGACAATATTAGCTGAAATGCTCTGCTGTTTTCTGATAAAACTAAGGCAAAGCCTCTTGAAGAGGCGTGAGCAAACCTCTACCCTGAACCTGTTTTATGGTCCACCTTGTCTTTCCACAATGCAGTAGGGTGTCTGTAGCATAGGGACATTTTGATCATGAGATCATGGAATCTGAGTTCCATTTCAAAACCATCCTGGGCTGTGTTAAGTGCTCTCATCTGCCATCCTGCATGTTACATACGTACAGATTTAAATTAAATTCTCATTGAGGCTTGTACTGAAGTGATTGCAAAATTATCACTCAAGAGTTGTAAAACAAATGGGATATTGACAGCTCTTTATTTCTTACTTATAGTATTCAAAAGATCACTAAATGTGGCCTTCAGATGTAGCTATAAGAAAGAGGATTGTCCTTATTTCTGCTGAAATATTTGTTTTATCTGAAAAGGAATTGAGACAGTGATTCAATCCCTTTCTTAATATAGTAAATAAGATATAAAAGAAACAAATGTATAATTCATCAAATCCAATTAATCATATGTATATAATAAAAACTGACCTTTTCAATTAAATTCAATAGTTATTAAGCACCTAAACTGTAAAATCTTAAAATCTAGGAGTAGTTTTAAAATAATATGTATAAAAAGCTGTAATAAAAACAGAAGGTCGAGAATTAAAGAAATCATGTCTATTTCCTACACAGCTGCACTGCTGGTCCACATCCGCTTGACACCCATATGACGGGAAGACTGGTCATTCTGTACCCCATACATGGACACAGCAACCTGTAAACCAAGGATACGTGTCACCTCTATAGAAGCAGATGCAGTGGGGTTCCTAATGGTATACACTTCTCCAAATTCTGTCATTTGTAGGTTTGTACCTAAGTAAATACTGCTTTTCTTCCTGACTCTCAGTATGTTTTCACAGCCTCATGTCACCTTTGTTTTTAGGCAGGTTAGTTATCCTAGGCATGGCGGGGATGGAAACTTACTAAGCCAGAGGTTCAAAAACTTCCTGTGATTTGCAACAAGTCTGAAACTTCCTGTGGCTTGAACTCCTACAGAACTGACACTAAAAACCTAGATGAAAGCCAGCACCCCCAGCCCTCCAGGACCTCTCCCTCTTGAAGACTGCTGCACTTCCCTTTCTGGCTTCAAATTAAAGCTCCTTGTTTTACTTTCTGTGACTCATCCTTGAATTCTTTCCTGCAGAGTCAAGTGCTGGGTCCCCAGGTATGGGTGGAGGACAGTACCTCTCAGGTAGAGACTTCCATCTCCCCAAGGACCCAGCTGGACAGCGTGGAGCCCATCTGGAGATGCTGTCTCTCTGACTGAGGCACCCTCTCAAGCCTGCAGCCATTGATTGGACTGGGCTCTACCAACTGTTCACCCTAGTAAACAATAATGCATCAAAATGCACATCCCTATACAATGAGGTTTGTACTTGTATTCAATTTTTCATAAAAATGCTTCCTGTGCCCCTTCCATAAAGCCCTCTAATATTTTTCTTAAACTGTCAGACTTATAAGTTTCTCTTGGAAAGCCCTTTTGATTTTTCACTTCTTTTTATAGTTTTTGAAAATCACTTCTTCACATTTATTTATTTATTCAACAAAAATCTACAGCGTTTCAACCCTATGCCAGACAATGGAGAAAGCAGTTTTAAAAAACTCATAGTTCAGGAAGGACACAGAGAACAAAGTAAGCAACAACAAGGTAACGTGACAGCTGATATAAAAGAAGAATGTACCGAGGACTCTTTCATTGCCTGAGAAAGGGAAGATATTTGAGCCAGGAAGAAAAAACCAGAAATTTGCATATTCATGCACAGAAGAATCGCATATTTCGAATGGAAGACCTCAGATAACACACATGTACAGTAGTTAAACAGCATCAGCAGTTGAGTACTACGATGCAACATGACAATGGGAGCAAACCTCAACAACACAGAGTCAGCTGGGTCTAGGCCGTATGTGTCCTGGAAACCACTGGCAGATACAATTGAAGATTATTCCATTAATATGTGCCACTTGTTTACTTTTGCTAATAGGTCCAAGAATATGACAGCAAAATAACAGTTTACACAATTTTCATTCTGGAACAAGGCTCAATTTCACTATTACACAGAGACTCTGTGTGTGTGTGTGTGTGTGTGTGTGTGTGTGTGTGTGTGTGTGTGTTTTCAAAGTAAATATGAGGGAAATGTTTCAAATAACTTAACTCCTTCCTAACTTGCTTTTTCAAGATCCCAAACACTGCTCCCACCTTAGGCTGAACTATGAGGTTCACTGGAGGGTATTCTGAAATTAAATAAAACAAACAAAAAACTACAAGCCTGCATATTGAGAAATAATATTTTGTGTAATTTTTTAGACATCTAGCAATTAGAAAACTGCACCACTATTTCATTCTTCAGAAAAGAAATACTGTAAGATACTTATCTTTTTTTTTTTTTGAATTGGAGTCTCACTCTGTCACCCAGATTGGAGTGCAGTGACACACTCCCGGCCACCGCAGCCTCGACCTACTGGGCTCCGGTGATCCTTCTGCCTCAGCCTTCCAGGTAGCTGGAATTACAGGCACGCGCTACCACGCCCGGCTAATTTTTGATTTATTGTAGAGATGAGGTCTCACCAAGTTGCCCAGGCGGGTCTCGAACCCGCGGGCGCAGGCAATCCACTCACCTCAGCCTCCCAAAGCGCTGGGGTTACAGGCTGAGCCACCAAGCCTGGCTATAAGATACTTTTCATTTGCAGCTTGCTTATAGTCTGATAAATTATGTGAGCATGCAGAAAAAGTTATAAATGATTGAAAAAGAAAAGTCAGAAGTCATTATTTGTTAATTAAACTATCATTTACAGGGAAAATTCAAAAAAATATAACAGAAAAACTATTACAGTTAATAAAAGTTCAGTAAAGCCATATAATTTTTAAAAATCAATACCTGTATACAAAACAATAGCCTCCAAAAATATAACAAAAAAATCAGATACTATAAAATACCCAGTAATTACCAACCATAAATGCAAAAGGATTTTCTTCTCCATAAAACTAAGTGAAGAACAAAAGAAGCCCTGAAAAAGTGTAATGCCATATTACTTTCCTGGATTAAAATCTTTAATATTGTCAAAATATCTAGGCTCCCAAAGTACTGAAAATGTCAGTTTACTACAAATTAATTTATGAAGTCAGGGCAATCAAAAGTTAAAATCCTATCCACATTTTTCATGGAAACTAACAAGCCGTTTGAAGAAGGAGAGAAACAGCTGCTAGTGGATATCAAAAATGCAGTAAAACTTGTAGATTTGGCCTTGGGTAGATTTAATTTTAAACTCTATTCTGTTCCATTCAAATCAGTTAGAGTGCTGTAAATACTATGCAAAGAATTAGATACTCATCTGAAAAACATATATATTTCATATCATTAACAAAAATACAATTCAGATTGAGAAGAACAAAAATATACATATACTATAAAAAGTACAAAAAGAAAATTTGGGACAATGTTTAGCTAATAAACTAGAGATAAATTCAAAGATGCCAGAAGTCCTAAAAGATCCCAGAAGTCCTAAAGAAAGTGAATAAGAAATCTAATTAAAATAAATCAACCACAGTTTTTATCTGGAAGTTCTTAGAAGGTTGTGTTACAATTTGCAGAAGAAAACACCCTGAGCTGTGGCAAACTGGTGACTGGTTCTCATACCATGACGACATACCTGCCCACATTGTGCTGAGTGTTCAGCAGTTTTTGACCAAAAATGGCCCATACTCCTCCCTCCCTATTCACCTGATCTTGCCCTAAGTACTTTTTTCCTGTTTCCCTGGATGAAAAAAGTTCTCAGAGGAAAACATTTTGCTGATGTGGAAGAGATGAAACAATAAAAGGCAGAAGCAATAAACGGCATTAAAATTGACAAGTTCAAAACTGTTTTGAGCAGTGGGAAAAGGACTTCTCAATAAGTGTATTGCATCAAATGGAAAGTGCTTTGAAGGTGACTGAAGTTAGAACATGTAAGAATAAATACACAATTTTTTATAAATAAATTCTGGGGAGCCGGGCTTGATGGCTCAGCCTGTAATCCCAGTACTTTGGGAGTCTGAGGTGAGTGGATTGCCTGAGCCCGCGGGTTCGAGACCCACCTGGGCAACTTGGTGAGAACTCATCTCTACAATAAATCAAAAATTAGCCGAGTGTGGTAGCGCACGCCTGTAGTTCCAGCTACTTGGAAGGCTGAGAGGCTGAGGCGGAAGGATCACCGGAGCCCAGCAGCTCGAGGCTGTGGTGGCCGGGAGTGGCCACTGCACTCCAGTCTGGGCAACAAAGTGAGACTCCAACTCAAAAACAAAACAAAACAAAACAATAAATTCTGGGGGTTTTGGGGTCCCCCCTCATATATAAGTAGGGTAGGGAATTGAGAATTCAAAAAAGAATAAGTACTAATGTCCAATAAATGATTCAAAGATGCTTAACTTTATTTAAAGTAAGCAAATTAAAACAAGGAGATACCATGTATTCATCCTTAAGAATGGACATAAACAAAAAGACTGTAACATCCATTGTTTCTGAGGACACTCCTGGGTGGGGGGCATACTTTGATAGCGGCCATCAATACTTTAAATGTAAATGTGTTTAACCAAATAATGTCACATCTAAGTATTTATAGAAATACTTGCAAACATGCACAAAAATG